GAATCTCCCCCCCCTCCCCCCCTTCCTCCTTCCTCGCGGCCAGGCTTGGTACATACATACATACGACCACCAATTAAATAATTTCTAATTTCTTTTAATGGCTTGTCATCCATTTCCGCTGTAGCGCATGTAGTGCAGATTTTTAGGCGCAATATTTAACTACTTGCGGCAAGTCCTACCGTCGCAGTTGATTTCTAGACTTTTGAATATATATATATATATCTATAATTATAGCTAAACATGGTGTCTGGATACACAACTTGCACGTTGATAAAAGCGTTGTAAAAAAAAAAAAATTATGAGCACAGGAATTTCACTTTTTCCATTTTCGTCAAAATTTAAGAGGTTTCTGTTGGCTGTTCTGGCTGCCAAACACAAAACTGGATAGTATACTAGCAGCTGGCATGAACAATGTTGCACTTAAAGCTACGACGATGGATATTCCAAAAGTCACTGACTTATCAAACAGCTCTCGTTTCTGTGCCCATTGGGGGCACTAATCTCAAGCCCCTACTATATCTTCTGAGTTGCAATCGCCTCCCTACACTCTACGTTCTGTGTTCTATTTTCAGTTGCTATTCTAGCGGCGATTCAGCAAATCACGACCAAGCTTCCAAGAATACCAGTACAACTACTTTTGGAAGAAAGGCGGAGCAGATCATATCAAATCGAGAATTACGAAAAATTTAAAAGGCGAATATTATAAATTTTATTTGCACCAGAAGAGCGTGCACACGAATTCATTTTTTTCCCGTAATGTCCTTGGTTTTAAGCAGATGCAAAAGTAACACAAATAACCAGGCACCCGCACACACACACGCACACACACACACCCACCACACCATTCACACAGCGGGCGTCAACATACGAAGGGAGTAGCCTTTAAAGCGAAGGGGTGACCAGCACAGCTGGTGCTCTTAGTGGGGCTCTAATAATGCCGGCACCGCCGCCGCCGCCAATCCTGCAGCTGCTTTTATTGTTATTATTATTGCACTAACAGCAACACCGGCTGCGACTCCAACTGCTGTTACTGCTGGAGCTTTTTTAAATGCCAAATATTAGAATGCCAATACGCGAAAGATATCAGTGAAAAGAAAATGGGGCGAACAATATTTGCTAAAAGCGAAAAGAAATAAACAAAAAAGACTGTTACAACATTTAAGCGGTACTGCCTGGCGCGCAGCGAACGCAGCAAAATAAAATGTGGCAACATATTATTATCGCTTGTTGGGAAAAACATAAATCATTTGCTTGTAAAGTGCGCGTTGAAATGTGGTCGCCGACAGCAGCTGCAATTGTGTATAGCGTGGTGGAGCTTAATCCTATGCACGATATCAACTGCAACAACAGCAACAGTATTCGTTATAGGAGCAACAACAACTTTGGCACAGCATGTGGCAACAGGCAAATGGGACATTGGGTGAGATATTCAGTTGCGGGGCAGTTACAGCTATGGAGATGGTAGGCGCTGTGTATTATTTGGGTGGCGAATTTATTCTGTTAGACATTGATTATGCACCATGGCTTAGATGTAGTTACATACTTTTGTATATGGGGCATTCCATACCAAAGCGGACGGGGTTCACACTTCAAGTGTTTGATTTGTTTCAAATTTTTAGGATTGATGCATAAACATAAATAATAAATAAATATTAAATTTGAACTTGATTAATACATTTCTAAAAAGTTTACAGCACAGAAACAAGAACAAATCGATTTAATAATTTTCCAAATATCTCGAGAACGCGGCGAGGAAAGAATTTGAAAATTCTCTATGAAATGAAACATTTAAAAATTTTTTTTTTTTTTTTTTTTTTATTTTTGTTTTTTTTTAAGTATGTACTAACTTAAATTTTGCGCAATACTCAGAGCCACAATTGTGATTTTTTTAATTTTTTTTTTTTTGAGATCGCATATTTGCAAAACCTCATTTTTTATCAAAAAATTTTTAAGTGTATAAATATTTGTTTTCATAGAGAATTTTGATGTGTGTATGTGCAAATTTTTTTCAAATTTTTTCGTCGCCGCATTCTCGCGATATTTGGAAAACTATTAAGTTTATTTGTCTTTGTTTTTGTGCTGTAGAATTTTTAAATATGTTTTAATCAAGCTCAAATTTCATATTTATTTATTATTTATGTGCATGCGTCTGTCCTAAAAATTTTAAACAAATCAAACAAATGAAGTGTGAACCCCGTCCGTTTCGGTATGGAACGCCCCATATACATATTCTCAAAATTTATTCAAACTTAAAAAACATAAATTTTAGTGGTAAATTTCAAACTTTTTAAGCAAAATTTTTATAAAAATTTTGGGTATTCAGTTTTGTGGTTTATTCAATGTAAGTCCTATAAAGTGCGAGTGTCGAAAAGCTAAAAATTGCAGTTGATTTTTGAGATTTTTTTCTTTTTTGGCGAGGTGTTGCCCAATTTCTTCCATATCAAAATAGATTTTGTTCATGCGTTATATGGAAGAAAATTATCAACTCCCTCGACAAACAGTTCTCAAATATCCAATGCTGATTAAAAAGTTTGAAATTTGTATAACAATTTTTCGAAGTTTAATTAGGTTTTTGCAATTTTTATTCGCCCATTCTTAGGCGACGACCACGTAAAATGATTAAAGAACTAGATATGATTAGGGGTAATGCCCCTGGAATGTGAAAGATGCTTGTAACTAGCTAATAGCCTTTGAACAACGAGGACTAAAATCACTGCCGTATAAGAAATGTGATAAATGGGCAAAGCAAAAACGCATAAGTAGGCCCCTGCAACACCTACCACAACTGCCATATGAAGATGGGCAAATTTTGGAGTTGCATTTGTGGTAGGGGCGATACTCCGTCGATGAATAGTGTCGTTCACCCCAGGGGGCGAGCGTCTATCCACAATCCGCATTAAAGCTGGATTATTCTACATACCACTAACATGTGACCATGCCCTCAAAGAAAAAAAGAACGTCCAGCGATCTATTTTATGAGCGCTTAAAGTAAAACTACGAGCGCTTCCCCAGTGAATACTTGATTCCATTATTGGCTATTTCAATGTCAGTGTTTGCAAGGAAGGAATCGATACCAACGATAACACTTCCAAATACGGACTGATCGACTTCGCCAGGCTCCGAGATATGGTAGAATGCAATACTAGGTTTCAGTACAAAACGAATCATAATTCTGTAAGGACAACTACACCGATTTAGTGGCTGATTTCTATAAGGTTCTTATATTAAAGAGGAAACACTTTCCACCCTATCGAATGGTAAGGGCACTGAAATAAGTTGAGAAGATAGTTCCAGCCATTTAGTCGGTCAGGACGAAGGAAACAATAAAGCTACTATATCCACTACGGTGGCGGAGGAGGAGGAGAGAAAAAAAATCAACCAAAAATTGCGCTAGCGTTAACGTTTGGGCTGGGTGTTCCATAATGCATTTAACTAGCCCATTGCTTAAACTTCGCAACAGAAAAGTAATATTTTTACCACATTTCGATATTTGGCTATGGGTTTATACTCAGCTGAGCCGTGTTTGGTTTTTATAGTCAAACCGATTACTAATTACCTCTGATAGCTATCTGCTCATACATATGTATATCAGACAAAATTGGTAGATTTTTGTAATGCTTTAATAAAATAAAATTTGACTTAACTAAATAAAAGAAAAACTCTACATAAACTTTTATTTTATCCACACAACTGGCTTTTTCTAAGGTTCTGTCGTCAAAGTTTTTGATGGTACAAGAAGTCAGTGACAACGATATGCCGGAACATACAAGATATCAGCTTGTGCCAAGAAATTTAAGGCAGGAAGTAATGCTAAAAATTACAATAAATGACACTTAATAACTTATGCGCTCTTGTGTGTATTAATTTATAGCAACGCAACCTACCACAGGATCGGCCTTCTTCCAGCACTGATGGAACCACCAAGCCTTGTGACAAAGCGTATCGCCCTGCGGATGCACGCAATCCTTTGCCATGTTTATCAGTTTATCACGCACAGTACCCGGCACGGTGTTGTATAGCGTTTCCAAATGCACATCACCATTATCGTCCACCACATCGATTTCATGGAACAGACAATTCATATAACATTTGAGCGCCTCATCTTCGTGTATCTGACCGTCGCTGAATTCCTTGATGGCCTCTATTCGATGGGAAATTTTTTAGTAAATTAAAATTTTTAATTAAATGAATTTTCTTCTTATTTATTTGCATGCATTCAAGTATTTCCTATAGAAACTAGAACCGTCAATTTACTTGAATAGGAACATTTATTCCATATGATACTTTTGTATTTAAAACAGCTGTTTGGATGCTATATCTGCATACTATATCTATAGTAGGGTAGTCCAAAAAAGTAAAGTCGAAATCTTAATGCGCTTACGGGGTTTGTATATCGGAAAAAACTCCTATTTATTTATTTATTTTTTTTTTTTTAATCAAAAAATATATTTACAGGTTGCTCAAAGTGTTCAAAGCTTTCCATGTATTTTGTATGAAAAAAAACAACTTTTCGTAGAAATGGTATAGAATTCTTGAAAATCAATAATTTCGAACTCTAGCTCCTCTCATGAGGATTCCAGTAATAGCACCCAATTATTTATTTAACCAAATTTTAATACTAAAGATTTTTTAGGGTTTTGGCGGACCTATAAAATATAGTTACTATACAAAACAACGGTTAAATAATTGGGTTTTATTATTTCGAATCTCTTGAAGAGAAACAGAAAAATATTGATCTTCAAGAATTCTAAACAATTTTTACGAAAAGATGTTTTTCTCCATATAAAATACATGAAAAACTTTGAACGCTTTGAGCGACCCATAAATATTTGTTTTTATTTCAAAGCAAACAAAAAATATAGGTATATTTTTTTTGAGTATAGAAAATTCCTAGGGCGCACATAAAAATTCCGACTTTACTTTTTCACAAGCATTTTTGGACTACACTAATTTAAATACTTAGTGTTTAGAGATGTCTGAATAATGAATAAAAGCGGCTGTTAAGTACTATCGTAAATATAATTGAAGTTAAATAATAAACACGCAGTTACCTATTTATGTGTTTGAAAGTTTGCTATTATCATTATCATTTGCTATTACTTTGAGAGGAGTTTAAAAACGGCCAAAAATTTATAAATTAATAAACTCTTTTTATTTGTGACTCTATTTAAGAAATTTGATATGTGGTTGAAAAAATATGTCTTAACTCTTTTATTTGTGACTCGATTTAATAAATGTGATATGTGGTAGAAAAAATATGTTTAATCATTTAATACCCCTTTTATATCCTTTAGACCTAGAGTAAGTCCATTCTCTCTTAAGCTCGCTCAGCTCGCTTAATTCTATCAACTAAAATTGCCCGCTATATGCAAATTAACTGTTCTTAAAATCTAATATTTTAGTGAGCGATGATTTTTTCTCTTAAAAATATAAATTAATTAGCAAAAAAGGAACAGTGACTTGAGAAGTAGTGTATGTATTTTAGCAAGTTTTGGACTTAACAAAATGTTAATATTGATACATGAGATTTTGTTGTCATTTATATGTTATGTAATACTATTCCCAAGTCAGTACTCAAAAGTCCCCTTCGATCACAAATCTGATTGAATACTTAGCTGCTAGCTGAAGTTACTAGCACACCATGGCGCAGGAGTGACAAAAATATCTAAAATCAAATATCTAGTGGCTGTTTGTTTATTAATTTACCTATTGTCATCGCCTGGGTTCAACCCTGGTCAAGGCAACATCGCAAAAAAAAAAAACATGAAAAACAGCTTCTCATTAAAATACAATCGCCGTTCGAAGTCAGCGTAAAACTGTAGGCAATATCAAGGGGCACACCACAAATCGGAAGAGAAGCTCGGCCTAACATCAACATATGTGTGAGCACCAATATATTATTATTATTATAAAGTTTTATTTAGTGCGGTAGAAGTAAAGATACCACACCAACAGGCCAACAGGATCTTTAAAGGATGTGTGATAGTGATAATCATCGTTTAAACGATACATTTACCATTTCTCGATCCCAAATACATAGATTACATACAAGAACAATTACTTATGTCTCTTCTGAATTAAAATGTACTACCATAAGTATATTGATAAAGTAAGCAAATATATTTTATACTATGCATATTAGCGTGGGCCGAAAATCCTTTTTATTTTAGAAAAAAAGCAGATTTTCAGCCCACTCTAATTCATATATGTTTTATTTTAGAACGAATTTCCCTCATCCCTTGTCAATTTTGGTTTGCAGACAGCCGGTTTCGGCGTTGTGTCATCTTCATATTTCTTTTCATTGTACTATACATAAAAAAAAACTTCTTAAATTATTTTTAGTCAAAATTTACCTACCTTCAGTTACGCCAGTTTTTTCAACGCAAGTGTCATGGAATATCTTCGCCATTTTCAGAACAGCTGGCGGTGGCCACTATCAAACATGAAATTTATAAACTGAATTAATCTTTTATGTACACATTTATAGTTTACTCTTAGTCTTAGTCACTCTAAATTCAACTTTTATATCAACTTTTCTATGCAAATCAGAAAATAGCAAACTCGCTTAGCCATAGTTCTGTTTCTGGGAACATCTTTTAGCTTTTTTTATTAAACTAGGTTCATATGCTAAAGTAAACCAAGGGAATGAAAATGGATGGTCCAGGATGCCAACTTAGCTTTAGCTGCTAATACTAACTACATATTTAATTACCTCTCATTGAACACATAGCAACATTTTAAATTTTGTTAGAAAAATTCAATAAGTTTTTGCTTATATCAATAGTTTTGCAATTTCTAAAACTAATTGTGGTATTCTCGAAGTCTTGCAAAGGTGCATCTATGGCAACACTGCTCTTTGCGGTTGAAATGAAAACGTCATTAGTAGAGCTGGGAATTTTAGCGTAGCGAATTTTTGAAAGTTTTTGCAGTCAATTTTTAATTTTGAGTCCATACTTATAAAATTATAACAACCAAAAATAATTCACTAATTCGAAAAGAAACTCACTTTATTGTCACGTCGCGGTTCCTGCGCTTGTACGTAGTTCTCTCTCAGCGACAACGACAACAGGACGACCATTAAAAATGCGGAGAACGCTTGTTCGCGCAAAATGCCATTCAAAATCATTTTAGTTCCGTTTCCGTTGAAATTTGCTTTCTCTCTTACTTTTTTGTTAAATATGTGTGTATGTATGCGGCTGTTATCCGCTTGCGCTATACACTACTCTAGTGGCTTCAGTATGCTATTGTTTGATTTTGCTTTCCGAATTTTCTGTTTGAATACATCAAACAATTTTTATGCNTAACACTTTTATTTTATGTTATTTTTTTGCTTTGATGGACACCCGTGGTGGTTTACTGCGTTTTTAATTGAAGTAAGGGCATTTTTTTTTTACGTCCACGTTTTTTTTTGTGCCTGGTGGCCTTACGACCAATTGAAGGCCTAGAAATGCTTATTTCTTCAAAGCAGAGTTTTTTTTGTAATATTTTCTCTTTGTTTTTTTTTCTTGCTTTATGATCGCGTTTTGGTTGCAATACTCGTGCTTCATCAGTTGAGTTTTCATGAAAATTAAAGTAGCCATCGGAATATACGTACATCCTATATACATATTAGGGCGGGTCAAATTTTTTGCATCAAAAGTAGATCGCGATTATGGTTATTTGGGTCATTTCAAGCATTTTTGTCCAAGAAACCATAGGTCTAAAATGAATTTCGAGTCAGCGATTTTTTTTATCTCACCTGTTGAAAACTAGCCAAAAGGTGTATCTGAGGATTTTTGGGGTCGAGGAATCCATTTTGGCATTATTTTTTTTTAGGGCCGCCAGATGGCGCTCCCTTGTTTTTTGTTTTTTTTTTTTTAATGCCGACAACATTGTTGCGAAAATCCACAAATCTCATAATGCAATTTCAATTTTTAAATAGCCTAAAATATTCAGCGGTGAAACTTAGTGGGAAGGGGGGTATATTTTTTGCACAACTTATATTAATTTTATTCAATTTAGGAAAAAAAAACGTTTTTTTTTAATTTGTTCTCTATGTTTTACAAAACAAATTTTTTTTCTTATTTTAATATATATTTTTTTATTCAAAAATTCAACCTAAAAGATAAAAACATATGAAATGTAAATGAAAAAAAAACTAAACCATTTCTTATGTTTCAGTTTTAAAATACGTATAACGTATTTTTTTTTTGTAATATTATGTTGGTAATACTGGATATCTATATATTGTATTGGGTCTGACAGCATGCTTTTTGATTTTCATACTGTGCTTAATATGTAAAATAAAAAAAATAAATAAATAAAAACAAAAATAAAAGTAGTTTTCAATACAGCTGTCTCAACAGGTGAGCCACTTTTTGAAAAAAAATAACTAAATTGAAAAAATCGCTGGCTCGAAATTTATGCAAAAATGCTTGAAATTATTTGGGTTATCATAATCGCGATGAGCCTCTGTTAATTTTTTTGGCCCCCACCAAATCAACCCGCCCTAATACACATTTATTATATAGATATTTACACATAAGCGCGTCGTGCTGGCAACAGCCGAATTCCGCCAGCCAACACTTACACATGTACAACAATGGAAAAATCCCTGTCCCGCTGCGCCATTGATTGCTGTAGCAATGAGTGATGTAAAAATAAGTTTTGTATATTTAAAACCATCTAAATATTGCAGTGAATATATGAAATTTGAAAACAACGGTAATTTCTATGTTTGGTTCTATTTTAGCTTAATAAAAAAAAAAAAACACATAAGCAACTGAATAGAATGTTTACAATAGAAGCACGGCTCGTTCAAATTCGGTTTTAGTACTTGAAAAAAAAAACAAATGCGTACATTATACGAAAATAGATATGTAAAAATTCGTAACAATTGAATCAATCACATCGTAATTACGGCAACACACAACAACAAAAAATTATAAAGCGTGCTTTTAAAAAGCAATAAAATTCAAAGCCACAAAATCTATTTTTAATTCCAACCAACTTGTAGGCAAGTGCCACACAATTACCAAAAAACACGTATAAAAGACTTTTGTTTTTTTAAACAATACACTCCTAAATAAATTTAGTAACGTTTAAAGTTGATAAGTGTTTCTTTCACCGCTCGCAACTACAACCGGAATTGAGTTTTTTACTGCGCGGACTTTACGTTTATATAGGCTTAGCGTTAGCATCATTTTTTTATACCTACACATGTAAATATGTATGTGCACACAACATACAATTTGTATTATATAAATTTTGAGCGGCTAAATATATTTACTTTCCAATGGAAATTGATTGTTCACATGAGAATCTATTTACTTTTGCAGCTTTGTTAGTATTTATGTACATAAATATTTATGTATGTATGCTGCTGTTACAATTTTATTTTTCTAGCATTGCATGTTTACTTTTTCAGCCACTTCATCAGCAAAACATGCAATTTTCATATTCAATATGACTGTAGTTTTTTTTTATTTTTATAAATAAACAGCAAAAAACTTTAGTGTACCCAACGTATTTAAACTCCTTCAATACTGGTCGTCTTTCCGTGACGAAGGAGCTCAAATGACAACATGGAAATTCCCAAAGGAAGCTCCCACATCGTGTTAAACCAAGAGGAAAGCTTGATATCACTTGGACCAAACCAAACTGGCATGTGAGCAAACTTCTAGGTTGGTAAGAATGTGGAGACACCCGCACCATCAACACTCCAAGCCAAGGTGTACCAAGTACCCGTGCCGATGGCTGAACGGTCAGCGGGTGTACTATATTGAATGGCAAACGGTCCCCTCCGATGCCTGGGCAACGTCACGGAGGTATAAGTGACGAGAGACTAACCCTTCCCGTGCATACTCGCGGGACCAAAACCAATATGAATGACAAAAACAAACATAGCCTACAAACGCCAACAAAACCCAATCTAATGACGAACACTGCAACGAACACTGAACAAATGAACAACGAACACTGAACAAATGAACAACGAACACTGAACAAATGAACAACGAACACTGAGCAATGACGTCGATACGGAGTCTCATTAAAACAATCCTCTTGCCTCCAGCCAGGAAAACCCCAATTCATCTAAGCAGAAAAATCTAAAGGGCGAATCTGAAAATAGCAATCGTTCCACAAACGACAGTTGTACCGGCGGGGAGACCAAAAACCCTAAATAGGCTAATTCATGGCTCACTGTAACGCCACTTGAGTGTTGTGGCCAAACCAGCTTACGGATGGCCATTATGAATGACAACTCGAAGACACCGGTATCCATTAAGCAGCACTGAGTGGGGATTGATGTCAAGTTGTCTCGAGCCTCGTTGTGGACCACGTCTCCGATAACCCCGTGGATCCCCATCCGGAGTTTGTCTGGTTGCCCCTCATGGGGGACCAGACGAGAAGCTGCTGCGGTGCCTAAAGCTTTAAAATAAATGCATACCGTGTTTAGCAGACTGGCAACTGATAAAAGTTTGGCAACCCAACAAAAAAAATAGACCACGTCTCTTGGCCATTTGCAAAGAATCCATTGAGGCTCTATCAAAGATGGAAAACACGTTTCGCTTTAGCATCCACATGGCCGAAATGAAGATCTACAAGGCGACAAGGCTCCTGCTGAAGACGTTACTGAAGAGGTCGACGATGCGAGCCAGTTTCTGAAGAATAGCAACATGACCGAGCAGGCCCGGACGCAGATGAATTGTATACAGATTTATCTGCAGCACTCGATATGTAAATCCTTCTAGGAGAGTGAAGCATTGACTTGACGTGAGTCTAATCTAGGAGCCATGGACTCTTTTATATTCGATCAAAAACGGTATCAATACATTTATCTGTCCAAACTACAGAACAGCAGACTTAACCGTGGCACCTTAGATATCAGTAAATCAAAACAGATTACAAATGCTTTACNAGTCCTTCCCATACATGTATTCAAAGTCAGACGGTATTATACCGATAATGCTACAGAAATTATAGGAGCCCTTGGTATCCTAGCTGGAAAAGGCCTACAAAGCCAGTATCAGCTTGACATACATTCCGAAAAACTGGAAAAAGTTAAAGTTGTCTTCAAACCGTGAAGAAGAATTCATGAAAAAGCTAAATACTTCAGACCCATAAGTCTTACACCTTTCCTGCTAAAGTTATTAAGTAAATATTCAAGTGAAGTGGGGTGTACTCGCTTTCCGAGGCTTCTAGTATACTTTTTCTATAATCTTTGGATGTTAGTACACTTCTCAAACCACTCGTATTAAAAATGAATTTACTTAAATTTGATAGACACAGAATACGGATTTTAGTGAATAAAAACTGGTTAGTGGAGAAGTAGTTTATTAAGAAGAAAAATAAAAACTCACTGCTGTCGAGTTAACCAGTTGTAGGGATGGAAAATTAAGTTATCATACTTTCGTTTATAGATGCATACTAAGACATTGCAAACTTACTTATAAAATTAAATCACGAAAATGGGAGTAGATAAATAGTTCTAAACATTGCAATCACACGACTGCAATGAACAACAAACATGCATGCAATTTTGTAGTTGAAAGTGTGGGCGTGTAATAGCATGCTGTCGAAGCAAAAACCAAACACACCTACAAACATGCGTAATAAATGACATCAATTGAGCTTTTAATTATTTGGTGGGATATGCACCAGCAACATGAATAAAGCAAATAAGCAAACGCGAATTTAAACCATGTGAAGCAATGCATACAGCTAGAAAAAAAATTTTATTCTGCAAGCAATGCTAGTGTTAGTTGCAACGCCCTCAAATACTTAGTACTCAATATCATGTGAATGGTGAAAAATTTTCGATTTTCAGTAAAATTAAAGGTTTACTTATTTTGATTACTACCGCCCGCAACTAACTATTTTTACACGCATACAAACGAAAAGCGAGTGCATACCTGTGATTGTATTGAAAAGGTTGATGTTTGCTGTTGTTGGTGTGGCAAATTGAATTCA